TATTATACCAAGAGAAAAGGTATCTTAAGAAAAACAAATTGTTAATTATAAGTTGTATTACTATGTGAATATATGAATCAAACATCAAACAAGTAAATGTAATAATCATGACAAAAGCAAATGCTTAATAGACAAAAAGTCAATCTTACGCTCCGTCGGAAAATAACAGGACTCGTCACTGTCTGCACACTTATGCTGAGCTATCAATCTTAGAAAGCACCTCATTATTTAATCACACTTAACTTAAGCTAACCTATCCATTCTCATTAACTGTTAACAAAGAAGTTATATCTAACATAATATTTTCATATGACCTTGATGTCTAGTACACATATTTGTTTTGACCATTAACTATTTGTTAAATTAGCATTAGTTAAATTTGATAATTAACTTGTTTCATTACATGTACATAAAAATCTTCATTTTCTTCCTAATCCTATGTTCCAGAATAGCACTCCCTTGCTACTGTCTTCTAATTCCTGCCCACCATGTTCCATCACGATGGTGCACTAAAATACTTCAAACGGGCTTACCGAGGTGAACGTGACTACTGAAACCTAATCCACGTTCTCCGACACTAAGCGTCCTTTTATTTTCGATATGGAGGTCATCCGGTCACGCCCTTGCTAGTTATCGGTTAATTATTTCTTATAGCTGGAAACATACCCGCATCAGGACTTTTCTATATCCCAGCACATATTTAACACTCCATTCATCCTTTCTAACCTTTTCTACCCGCGTTCATTTCTTGTTCCCAAACTGATCCACTATGATCTTTATTGCGTTCGATTAGAACTGCTTGTTGTTTCGCACTCGTGATTTCTTTTTTGCTTCTGTTTATCCATCACGTGGTGATCTCGCTTCTGTTTGTTTTTTTTCCATTTGTGTCTTGTCCTCTTGACCGTATTTTTTGTATGGAATCCACTTCAAGTCTTCGCGATGTTATTCTATTTTTGGCGTCTCGTCCCACCTTGTTGTTTCACCCGTTTATGTAGCATTCGCTTCGCCCTCGTGCTGTTCGCGTGGTGATGACTAAGCCTTCGAGTGTCTACGACAGGGTGAGAAGTTGCAATTGTCGCCTGGAGGTTACTGCTGTGGCTTGCTAAGGTGGGTAAGGACTGAGTTCAGTCGAGTCAGCACCCGCTGACATACGTTGATCAAGTCGGCATTAGTCAACACAGGCCGGGCGAGGCTCAGTTTCGCATATCAGACTTATCCTTATCCTTAGAGTAGAGTAAATGGAGCCACAGTTCAGCGGGGCAGGGTCAGAGCAACAGAGAGGTCAAGATTGGTTCCGTGATAAAATACCTTAGTGAGTGTTAGTGTCGTGGGACCGTGACTTGTTAATTGTATTCGTGCATTTGTATCTGTGACTTGTGACCAGTAGATAAACGTAAGAGCAGAAAATATGCTAATGCTGCCATTCAACAGAGGTTCACAACATAATGCTGATAATAGTAATGGCGATAATCATTACTATCATTATTATCATTATCATTATTATTATTATCATTATCCTCATCATTACTATTAATATTATCATTGTTATCATATTGATAACTATTATCATTATCATTATCATCATAATTATCATCATTACTATTATCATCATTATTATTATCATTATCATTATTATTATTATTATCATCATTATTATTATCATTATTATTATCGTTTTTATTGTCACCATTACTATTATCACCATTGTTACTATCACCATTTTTGTTATCACCATTATTATTCTCACCATTATTATTATGATCATTATTATTATCATTATAGTTGTTATAATAATTATTTTCATTATTGTTTTCACCATTTTATCATTATTATCCTCACTATAGATATCATTTTATCTTTATTATCGTCATTATAGTTATTATCATTATTACCATTATTACCAATGAAATTATTATTATTATTACCAATGAAATTATTATCATTATTACCCATATCATTATTATCATTACCACTATCATTATCATCATTATTACCAATACCATTATTATCATTATTACAAATATCATTATTATTATTATTATTATTATTATTATTATTATTATTGCTATTATTATCATTATCATGAGGATTACCATTATCATTATCATGATTACTATCATTGTTAGTAACATTATCATTATTGTTAACATTATTATCATAACTGTTATCATAATAATTGTCATTATCATCATTATTATCACCATCATTATTAACATTATTCTCATCATAATTTTCATCACTCTTATTTCCATTCTGATTCCTATCATTAATGTAATGAATTTTAGTATTATCATTAGTATTAATATCTTTACTGTCATTACCATTTTCATTATCATCTTTATCATTATTGTTATCATTATCATTATTAGCATTATTATCGTGACAGTGAGGATAATAATGAGTATATATACATACATATGCTCGTTTAAGCTTTTACTCGCGCAACTTCAAAACGCCCTGAGATTATGACTGTTACCATTATCATTTTTATAATATATAATAATTTTCTTAAATTAGCGACAGAGAGCCATATCCTGATTCGTGAGGGATTGAGCCCGTGCCCTCTGTCTCCGGCGGCCATGACGACCGACAAAACGCCCGGAGATTTCAAGTCAGAATACACCGAGCGCGGCGGTGGGTTTCCCCAGTTCGTACGTTCCGCGTTTTCTTTCGATATATAACAAATTATTCCTTTTCGTTAATAAAGATCCAATGCTTATTGCATGGTTAATGTGGCCTTCGCGATGACTCCCAACTTTAACGAATTGCATGTTAGTAACAGTATGACAATAATTAGGCATCAATAACGTACACTGTTACAATACATTATCACAGATATTTTCAGCATCTTATCATTCTTCCTCATTACCTCCCCTAACCATATCCCTTATCATCGCCAAACAGTGGCGAAGTTGGTCCCAAAGGGGTACATTTGCAGAGAAAGATGCGTCTTTGACCTGGAGGATGTCAATACTCTGTACTAGCGATCCCAGGCCGTTGCAGATACGTGCTAGCGATCTACCACTTAGCGCAGTTCAGTAATATAAATGTGCGTATGTGTGTGTGCATATATTATATTTTTAGAAACAGTTACCGTATCCATATCCTTTCTCAACTGACAATGGTTCTTGCAATGCATTTAGCCGTGAAGTTTCGAAAGATTCAGTGTCACTCGGACAGGATATGGATATAACAAATTACGTCAGAATGCGTGAACTTAGTCACACATGGCATTGCTATTGTTATATTTGTTGCTGGTATTATTATTGTTATTATTATTCATTTCATTATTATCACCATAATTATAATCATTACTATTATTATTATCAAATTATTGTCACCACAAGCATCATTATTACTGCTATCATTATTAGTATTATTATCATTGTTGTTTTTATCATTATCACCATAATTATAATCATAGTCATCGTCACCATCCTCATCCTCCTCTGTTATTATCACTATAATCATCTTTATCATATATATGTGTGTGTGTGTGTGTGTGCGTATGTGTGTGTGTGTGTGTGTGTGTGTGTGTGTGTGTGTGTGTGTGTGTGTGTGCACATATCGTATATGCATACATAGTATATGTGTGTGTGTGCATATATATACACATGTGTGTGTATGTATATAAATACACACACACCCACACACATACACACACACATTTCCCAGCAGATGGTCCTCATGCACAGAGGTACTGATGAAGCACAGCCTCCAAGCTCCAAGTACAGCCTCCATGCGGAAAAATAGTGACCAGCTCTTGCGATACTGGTTTTGGTAGACACCGCCTTCAGCGAGAGTTCTCTGCTATTTTGTACTTTATGCATAAGTAGTAGATGTATATTTCTATATATGTGCATATATATATATATATATA